TTTTTAACTGTGTGATAATGAAATGCCAATACAAGTTATCAAAGGCCTTCTGGGCATCTAAAAAGACCAGTGCAACTTGTTTTCCCGGATTCTCTGCATAATATTCTAGTGTATTTATAATTATCCTCATATTGTTTTTTAACTGACATTTTGTTAAGAAGCCATTTTGATCTGTGTGGATAATTTCATTTAATATTTTTTTTAATTTGCTCTTCCATTATTGATGTAAAGATTTTATAAAGCCATGCAAGAGCAGACAGAAACAGTGATTTTAATGAAACATTTAGAGAAGCAAAGTTACCAAAATCATGGAGGGAAGCATATATAACATTGATACCCAAAGACGATTCGGACCACCAACAAATAAAAAATTACAGATCAATTTCTTTACTAAACACAGATTATAAAATCTTTACATCAATAATGGCAGAGCAAATTAAAAAAATATTAAATGAAATTATCCACACAGATCAAAATGGCTTCTTACCAAAACGTCAGTTAAAAAACAATATGAGGATAATTATAAATACACTAGAATGTTATGACGAGAATCCGGGCAAACAAGTTGCACTGGACTTTTTAGACGCCCAGAAGGCCTTTGATAACTTGAATTGGCATTTCATTATCCCACAATTAAAAATGATGAGATTTGGAGAAAAAATTATAAAAATGATAGAATCAATTTATTCAGCCCAAGCAGCAAAAATAATAATAAATAGTGACACTACAGAAGAAGTTAAGCTATGGAAAGGAGTGAGACAGGATTGTCCACCTTTATTATTTATACTATCACTGGAAGTTGTACTAACCAAAATGAGAAACAATCAAAAAATAAAGGGATTAAAAATTAAAAAGAGGAATATAAAACACAGGGATTTGCGGACAATATGGTATTCATATTAGAGGATCCATTAAAATCAGGAATTAAATTAATCCAAAAAATAGAGGAATTCAGTAAGTTAGCGGGACTTAAAATTTATAAGAACAAAACAAAGATCGTTATGAAGAATTTTACTAAAAAACAAGAGCAAGAATTAGAGAAAAATATGGGAATGCAAATAGCAAAAAAAAGTATAGTACCTAGGAATTTGGCTGACAGGGAAATGCTCAACAATTAAATAATTATGTTAAAACGATTCAGAAAATTAAGAAAGATCTGGAAAATTGGAGGAAACTACAAATATCCTTAATGGGAAGAATAGTCATCATTAAAATGAATATGCTACAAAAATTTATTTTTATTTGAAGTGGTGCCGATTAGCCTAGGGAAATTTTTTTTCATAAACAAATTAATTGCACAGTTTATTTGGTCAGGAAAAAAACACAAATTAAATTAAAATTGTTACAAGACAGTAGAGAAAGAGGAGGATTTGGGCTTCCCGATTGGGAGCTTTATTACCAAGCAGCAGCTCTCACCTGGTTAAAGGACTGGATCAATTTAAAAAAACCAGAAGATTATTAACAATAGAAGGTTATAATTTGGAATTGGGTTGGCAAACATTTATCTGGGATGGGAAAGACAAGATTCATAGCTATTTCCAAAAACATTTAATTAGAAAAGCTCTACTACAAACATGGTTAAAAATCAAACCAAAACATTACAATAAAATCCCAACCTGGCTATCTACCATGGAAGCTCTGATATACCCGAATGTATTAGACATAAACAAAATAATAAGATATAAAGACATATTAGACAACCAAGAAAGGCTAAAAACAAGGCAAGAACTGAAAGACAAGAGAATAGGTATTGACTGGTGGCCCTATTTATAAATACAGGCAAGGTATAAAAAAGACAGGGAAAGGGACGGATTCCATAAGGAGGCACAAGAGCTGGATAAAATTTTACAGGGAACCAAAGAAAAAATGATTAAAAATATATCAGTACTTATTCTCTTGTCTTTC